TCTCTCGTTCCCACCAACCATACTTGTGATGATGGTGGGACTGAGAGGAGGGCCACTCCTGATGATCTCAGGGCTTGTGTGGGCTGGTAGAAGGAGATGCAGTTCCTCAAATAGGCTTCTTTTTTGGAAGTTATAAACAGAGGCTGGATGGCAATCTGTCAAGAGTGCTTTGATTGTTGTTTTGCCAGTTCCTTCCTCAGTCTCCAGTGCTTGGTATTTTTGATGGTCTCTCATCAAACTAACCAGGCTGATCCTGCTTAGCTTCCAAGATAAAATGGGATTTGGTTCCTTTAGGGCAGAGGTTCTCAACCTGGGGGTCCCCAGATATTTTTGGCCTTCAACTCCCAGAAATCCTAACAGCTGGTAAACTGGCTGGGATTTCTGGGAATTGTAGGCCAAAAATATCTGGGGACCCCAGGTTGAGAACCACTGCTTTAGGGCATTTAGCCCTAATCTTTCCTCTACATCTGTATTAATGTAATTCTGATTAGAATGCAGCTACTGGTATAGTTAGATGCTCTTAGCAGTTTGCATTTACTTTCTTGTCTGTTTTCTGTGTTATTCTAGTTTCCTTAGAGCTTTTACCAACTCAAAAGGCCAGTTTGTTGAGTCTTATTCTTATAATACTTTCCTTTGAAGGTGAGTCGGGCAGCCAGACCTCCCTGAAATAGATTTGCTTTACATCCCAATTCCCTGGAGCAGTTTGCACTTTCGCAGGCACCTCTTGTACATCATACGAGCAAGAGATCCTATTGAGAACATTGGGGAATGATATATAATTATCCCATGAGTAGGCAGACGGGGAATGTACAAAAACACCAGTGCATGAGTACATGCTTGTGCTTCAGGACAGCTCTCAAGTGGATTTCTGCAGTGAGTGTACGCTGACCTTTTTGCCGTGGTTTTTTATTGCACAAACTGGGTGGCAATCCGGCTGCCCTAATCCCGGGAAGAGATGATTTGCCAGAGCTTCTTAGCCCTGGCTTTATCCCAGTCTCCACTTGCTCTAAGTGCTGTGTAATGTGGAATGGTTATTAGCATCAAGTAATGCTGTTTATGGCAAGAAAAGATGCAGGACGATAATTTTTGTCACTGCTAAGGGCAGCTTTACACATTTTCATTCAATTGAGTTCACACTGAGGGGAAAATGAAACCACGCTGTTTGATAACACATAAGAATTTTGCTGTTTTTGAAGCAGCAGTCTCTAAACAGAGCTGCACTTAGGTAAATATATAGAGGATTGCAGTGATGGTTACTTGGGAAGGGACAGCAATAGGTTGTTTTCTTGGATAGCATAGGTTATTTTACCTGTTTGGGTAGATAGCACGTCATAGTGTATGCAAAGCAGCCAAAGCATCTTGTTCGACCCAGCGCTGGGTGATGAGTTTTCTCCTGCAGCTTGTTTTCCTCTTTTTCCATAAACCAACAGAGACAAGGCAGCAAAAGCTATCTTAATAACCAGACGTAATTCCCAAAGAAGGGTCTCCAGTCTCCAGGCAAAGCTATTCTGGATGTTCTAGGAGCATCATACTGCCCTAAGTATATTTGATTCTCAACATTTACAGGTATAACTTCTGCTGATTTGATTAATATGGTCTCTCTAGGAACCTTTATGTCCGCCATTGCAACTCAATAGTCAACATCTAGCTTTTTCCCCTCATGGTTTCCCCACTTTTGCAGGGGTTCTAGGTCACTAACTCTGACTAACGCAGTAGTTCCCAACCTTTTTTTTTTTTTTTTACTAGGGACCTTTTGATCTGGGACCACTTTCCAACACTAGTACCAAAAGGGTTACGAATCAGTTTTTGGTCAACTTTGGATTTGGTTTGGTTATTTAAGTTGCTGATTCAGAAAATTGCATTGGCTAGCCCGCATCAGCTCTAGTTTTTGATAAACAACATAGGCCATCCAGTAGTCACCATCTGCTTGCCCACAGAAAACTATATTTAATAATCTAGAGTTGATGTGGTATTAATCTTTCGTGGGTAGTCAGCCTCTCCCCTCCCGACATCCCTGTTGCCTCGGCACTATAAGAGGGTTTTGCGAGACCAGTCGCTCTCGTTGCTGTGTGGTTTCAAGGCAACAGTGTAGTAATGGTGATGACATGGACCATATTTTCATTCTTGTGGATCACTGGTGATCCAGAGACCACAGGTTGGGAACCATTGGAGTAAAGGAAATGGCCCACTGTAATCGCCACACATATTGCCTGATTTTAGCATTTGATTTCATGATTTATTTATTTACTTACCATATTTGTATCCAGCCTTTTTCACCCCAGAGGGTGGTGGTGGTGGAGGTGGTGATGATGGTGATGATAATAATAATAATAGTAATAATACATATTTATTGCCTGCCTCTCCTTGTGGCTCGAGGCGGGGTACAGTATGGATAAAACACAACACCATTAAAATACCTATAACAAGATACACACTGGTAAAACAAATATTAAAATTCACCAATAAAATGTTTCTGGCCATGTACTTTGTAAGCTTCCACTGCCCTACTGACTGTCTCCCCAGTATGGTCCATAGCTAATTTTTTGTGCAGTTTGTATGAAATATTGAAATTTGATTTTTGAACATGGAATTTGACATAGGAAAATGGTGGAGTCTCCTCCTCTTGAAGGTTTTGATCAGAGGCTGCATAGCCATGTGATGGGAGTGCTCGTTTGTTTTTGCATGGCATGGCAGAATGGGGTTGTATGACAGCCCTTGTGGTCTCTTCCAACTCTTATGATTCTGCAACTCTGCCCTTTGAGAACTCCAGTCTTCTTTTTCAAAAGCAAATTTCTTTGAGTAAGAGATATGGAGTGTGTGGAATAGATCCAAATGGGAGCCAGACGACGGTTGCATTGGTATCTCCACTGCTTGTGAATGGAACATCAGATCTCTTGCTTGGCAGTCTGTTTCTTACCAAGACTAGCAGCAGCAGCTGAAATTATACAAAATGAACATATGCCTGCAAATCCAAGTTTTTCTTGCAGTGAGATCTTTATTGTGCTTCCAAAACAAAATTAATTCATTACACTCATCACCACTTTCTTTTTAGCTGGTACTTTAATAGCTCTTGCTACTGTAAATTTCACCCCTCTCAAATTGCTGCCTTAAGGCCATAGAGTCCAAGGGGCTCATTAAAGTTACAAGGTTTAGAAAGGCAAAAGATGTACAATTTTGGGGGGAGAGTTGCTGTTGGTATCTATGAATCTTCTCTTGATGATTGTTTGCAAGTCACACATACCTTCATGCATCAAAGAGGTCTTGAAAGGAAGAGTGATCTTTTGCTTTCTTTGGGTGGGAAAACTATACTACACATCGACCCTAAATCCCTCTGTACACTATTCATTAGTCCTCCCTGACATTCCCAATTAGGTAAGGTAAAGTTTTCCCCTTGACATTAAGTCTAGTCATGTCTGACATTGTGGGGTGGTGCTCATCTCCATTTCGAAGCCGAAGAGCTGGCATTATCCGTAGATGCCTCCAAGGTCATGTGGCCAGCATGACTGCATGAAACCCTATTACCTTCCCCCTGAAGCAATACCTATTGATCTACTCACATTTGCATTTTTTTCAAACAGCTAGGTTGGTAGAATCTGTGTCTAACAGTGGGAGCTCCCCCTACTCCCCGGATTCAAACCGCCAACCTTTCGGTCAGCACGTTCAGCGGAATGTTACTCGCACCTTTCAAAAGAGGCCATTTTCCAATATTTCAGATATAAATTATGAAATATGTTGAAAAATAAATACAAATAAAATAACGTTTTTTAAAAATCTGGGTGCCAGTGATCAAATACAAGTGTATTCTACCGTTTTCAATTAAAAGCAGTCTGAACTTTCTTTTTTTAAAAAACAAAGATAGATCAATTGTTCATCCAAAGAATCAAAAAATCTGGATTTACGTAATAGTCAACTCAAAGGTCAGCAGAAAGGTGCAAGGTTTCCATATCTTTTCAGTGGGGAAGATGTTATACAAAACATGTTTAGTGTGGGAAATGGGAGGCGTCTTGATGGTGAAAACATTATGTCTGTGTGGTCAGAGCCTTAAGATGAAAAAGAGTAGGGCTGGTTTGTAGACATTCAAATTAGGCATTCGTGGGTAATACGTTTTTTCTAGGTTACACATGGGACTGTCCCTGAGACTCCTGGAGACAATACAGAACTAACTGTTGTCTACTTCATGTCCTGTTTTCTCTGCCTCCATTCACTTTAAGCTCCTGTCTCATGATAAGATACTAGAGACTTTTGAAATGTTCTCATAGAAGCATTATACAAATAAGGATTTAGCACCAGCCCGAAAACACAACCAGGGAAAGAGCTAATAATGTCTCCCAGGACACATCTATGCTGTAAAATTAATGTGGTTTGACATAACTTTAACTGCTGTGATTCAATACTTTGGATTTCATTGGGACTTCATAAATGATCTGAATGCTGATTGTAGTTTTCTACAAGTTCCTCTGAGCAGACTGAGGAAGAGTTAACTGTTCCAATTTTCATGGACCTGCAAGAGAGAGGTCTTAGCTGCAGAGGTCCAAAAGATTAGCTGAGAAGTGAGCTAGTAACAGGCAGCACCTGTGAATTTAGGATTTAAGAAGCTCATTGCTGGCCGAACCATCAATTGGCTGAAGATACGACGGGGAGAGCGCAGATGAGCTCTCTCTGTCAGCTCCAGCTCCCCATGTGGGGACATGAGAGAAGCCTCCCACAAGGATGGTAAAACATCAGAACATCTGGGCATCCTCTGGGCAACGTCCTTGCAGACGGCCAATTCTCTCACACCAGAAGCAACTTGCAGTTTCTCAAGTCACTCCTGGCACGAAAAAAAAAGTGGATTTTTAATTGTTTTTCTCTTACTCTTTGCTCTTGGGTGGGGAAATAATAAAATTACAGCTTCATCATGCCAGGTATTAATTGCTTTCCTTAAAAAAAGACCCCTCTTTGGTTGTTTTAGTCATGATCCAAAAATTGCTTCTAATGAGTTGCTTTCCTTTTCCCCGCAGTGCTGAGTTAAAGCTTTTGGAAGAAACGGCAGTCTCTGTCTGCAAGTCTTTAGGTAGGAAGCTATTTTGATGTTGGCATTTATTTCTGTGTTCTTCATATTGTCAACTTTCCTAGTAAATTGCACTGCTCTATAAAGCTTTGTATCTGTGATGTGTTTAATACCTCCCATCTGCGCTCTGTGCTTGGAATTTTAAAAGCCAGTCATCACTCTGGGACTCGATGTAGACATATTGTACCCGCATGTGCTGTTTGAACATAAAGTTTTCACAGGTTTTTGCTTTATTTTGCATGCTGTCGCAGGAAGTGGCTTGGGCACAGCTATATTAAGTTGTAGTAGAACAGGTTGTTTTTTTCATCTTTCCCTTTAAAAAAAAGCTTTTATTCAAAAGAGAATATGTGTAGGAGGTACAAATAGAGATGGAATATGGAAAGGGATCTGAAATCTGCCTCAGCTGCCTTTTTCAAGGTTATGAAATGTGAGGCTGTTTAAATCTTATTTAAAATTTAAACATAATGCTTCCTTTATGCAATCAGACCAAAGCAAATTACTTCTGAACACAGAGGTTTATTTTAGTGTTAATTATTAATTGGGGTCTCCAGCAAAGGATCACCGCCTTGTCGGGGCGCTGGAGCTTGAGCACCTCAATGATGTCATGAGCGAAACCGTGAAGGGACACCCAAGACGGGACGGTTGTGGCAGAGAGGTCAGACCAAGCGTGATCCCTGGGGAAGGCAATGGCAAACCACTCCAGTATCCTTGCCAAGAAAACTAAATGGACCAGTACAACCAGAGATATGTCGGCATGCCATTGGAAGATGGGACTCCCAGGTCGGAAGATGGCCAAAATGCTACTGGGGAGGAGCAGAGGATAAGTTCAACTAGCCCCAGATGTGATGACGCAGCTAGCTCAAAGCCGAAAGGAAGGCTAGCGGCCGACGGTACTGGAGGTGAACAACGAATCCGATGCTCTAAAGATCAACACACCATAGGAACCTGGAATGTAAGATCTATGAGCCAGGGCAAATTGGATGTTGTTATTGGTGAGATGTCAAGACTAAAGATAGACATTCTGGGGGTCAGCGAACTGAAATGGGCTGGAATGGGCCACTTCACATCAGATGACCACCAGATCTACTACTGCGGACAAGAGGAACATCGAAGAAATGGAGTAGCCTTCATAATTAATAAGAAATTCGCTAAAGCGGTGCTTGGATACAATCCAAAAAATGACAGAATGATCTCAATTCGAGTGCAAGGAAAGCCTTTCAACATTACAGTGATCCAAATATATGCCCCAACCACAGCTGCTGAAGAAGCAGAAGTAGATCAGTTCTATGAGGATCTGCAGGACCTACTGGATAATACACCAAAAAGAGACATTATTTTCATTACAGGAGACTGGAATGCCAAGGTGGGAAGTCAAATGACAACTGGGATCACAGGCAAGCATGGTCTGGGAGAACAAAATGAAGCGGGACGCAGGCTGATAGAATTTTGCCAGGAAAACTCGCTATGTATAACAAACACTCTCTTCCAACAACCTAAAAGACGGCTTTATACATGGACCTCACCAGATGGTCAACACTGAAATCAGATTGACTACATCCTTTGCAGCCAAAGGTGGCGGACATCCATCCAGTCGGTGAAAACAAGACCTGGGGCTGACTGTAGCTCAGATCACGAACTTCTTATTGCCCAATTTAGAATAAAACTAAAGAGATCAGGGAAAATACACAGACCAGTTTAGATATGATCTCACTAACATTCCTAGCGAATATACAGTGAAGTGAAGAACAGATTTGAAGGACTAGATTTAGTAAACAGAGTCCCAGAAGAACTATGGACAGAAGTCCGAGACATTGTTCAGGAGGCGGCAACAAAGTACGTCCAAAGAAAAAGAAAACCAAGAAGGCAAAATGGTTGTCTGCTGAGACCCTGGAAGTAGCCCAAGAAAGGAGGAAAGCAAAAGGAAACAGGATAAGGGGAGATATGCCCAGTTAAATGCGCAATTCCAGAGGTTAGCCAGAAGAGATAAGGAACTATTTTTAAATAAGCAATGCATGGAAGTTGAAGAAGACAACAGAATAGGAAGGACAAGAGACCTCTTCCAGAAAATTAGAAACATTGGAGGTAAATTTCAGGAAAAAATTGGTATGATAAGAAACAAAGATGGCAGGGACCTAACAGAAGCTGAAGAGATCAAGAGAAGGTGGCGAGACTATACAGAAGATCTGTATAGGAAGGATAATAATATTGAGGATAGTTTTGACGGTGTGGTGAATGAATTAGAACCAGACATCCTGAGGAGTGGGGTTGAATGGGCCTTAAGAAGCATTGCTAACAACAAGGCAGCAGGAGACGACGGGATCCCAGCTGAACTGTTTAAAATCTTAAAAGATGATGCTGTCAAGGTGATGCATGCCATATGCCAGCAAATATGGAAAACACAAGAATGGCCATCAGACTGGAAAAAATCAACTTATATCCCCATACCAAAAAAGGGAAATGCGAAAGACTGCTCCAACTTCCGTACAGTGGCCCTTATTTCTCATGCCAGTAAGGTAATGCTCAAGATCCTGCAAGGAAGACTCCAGCAATACATGGAGCGAGAGTTGCCAGATGTTCAAGCTGGGTTTAGAAAAGGCAGAGGAACGAGAGACCAGATTGCCAATATCCGCTGGATAATGGAGAAAGGCAGGGAGTTTCAGAAAAACATCTACATCTGCTTATTTATATAGATTCTAAAGCCTTTGACTGTGTGGATCATAATAAATTGTGGCAAGTTCTTGGTGGGATGGGCACCAAGCCACCTTGTCTCTCTCCTGAGGAATCTGTACAAGGACCAAGTAGCAACAGTAAGAACTGACTACGGAACAACAGACTGGTTCAAGATTGGGAAAGGCGTACGGCAAGGCTGCATCCTCTCACCCAACCTTTTTAACTTGTATGCAGAACACATCATGCGATGTGCGGGGCTGATGAATGCAAAGCTGGGGTGAAAATTGCTGGAAGAAACATTAACAACCCCAGATATGCAGATGACACCACTCTGATGGCCGAAAGCGAGGAGGAGCTGAGGAGCCTTCTAATCAAGGTGAAAGAAGAAAGCGCAAAAGCCGGGTTGCAGCTAAACGTCAAAAAAACCAAGATTATGGCAACAAGAATGATTGACAACTGGAAAATAGAGGGAGAATGTGGAGGCCGTGACAGACTTTGTATTTCTAGGTGCCAAGATTACTGCAGATGCAGACTGTGGCCAGGAAATCAGAGACGCTTACTTCTTGGGAGGAGAGCAATGTCCAATCTCGATAAAATAGTAAGAGTAGAGACATCAGACTGGCAACAAAGATCCGCCTAGTCAAAGCCATGGTATTCCCTGTAGTAACCTACGGATGTGAGAGCTGGACCTTAGGGAAGGCTGAGCGAAGGAAGATCGATGCTTTTGAGCTGTGGTGTTGGATGAAAGTGCTGAGAGTGCCTTGGACTGCGAGAAGATCCAACCAGTCCATCCTCCAGGAAATAAAGCCCGACTGCTCACTGGAGGGAAAGATACTAGAGACAAAGTTGAAGTACTTTGGCCACATCATGAGGAGACAGGAAAGCCTAGAGAAGACAATGATGCTGGGGAAAGGAAGGAAAAAGGAAGAGGGGCCGACCAAGGGCAAATGGATGGATGGTATCCTTGAAGTGACTGGACTGACCTTGAAGGAGCTGGGGGTGGTGACGGCCGACAGGGAGCTCTGGCGTGGGCTGGTCCATGAGGTCACGAAGAGTCGGAGACGACTGAACGAATGAACAACAACATTAATTGGGGTACTTCTGCCAAGCCATGTGTCTCCATATAGTATGTGTCGAATTGGCTTGCGCTGTGTGGTTGTTATGTCAGATAGCTGTTGAGAGGCCCAGATTTCATGAATTTGTTGAATCTGTAAAAGTAGAGATTGTAGGAGTTTTGGACTGCAACCACAAATCATAAGTTTACACTGAATTTTCATCCCACTCCCCTTTGAGTCTTGTTTACTGATGTGCAATAATGCACAGTTCCCTACTCTTGGTCCATATCATTAGCCTTTACTGAGAGAGCTGCAAAAATACCCCAAAGGACCATATCACAGCACAGGTTTTGCAGTAGGTATGATGAAGAACTGGAAAAAGGGTCAACAGAGGGTTTGCTGTTTTCAAAAGGGGCCCATTCAGTCCAATGAAATTTGGCCCTATTTAACAAACTGGCCATCCACATGTCATATGGTAGTGAATGTTGCAACTACATAATATTAGAAAAAGCATACCTTATCGCAGAGCTTTCCAAACAATTTCATGTTAGTTACACGTGTAAGCTCAACAAATATCCCACTTATAAAGAAAATAGAAAATAATAGAATTCAGCATATAGTAGTATAAACTTGTTATACTGTTCAAATTCACAGTAATCACAAACAATATTATATGGGTTTTTTGTACAATCACTATGTTCGTTTGTGGTATTCACAGAACTCAAAAATCACTGGGGGAATTGACACCAAATTTGGACACGATACACCTAACAATCCAATTTATGTCCTCCACTCAAAAAAATGATTTTGTCATTTGGGAGTTGTAATTCTTGGGATTTATAGTTCACCTACAATCAAAGAGAATTCTGAACTCCACCAATGATGGAATTGATCCAAACTTGGCACACAGAACTCCCATGACCAACAGAAAATACTGGAAGGGTTTGGTGGGCATTGACCTTGAGTTTGGGAGTTGTAGTTCACCTACATCCAGAGAGCACTGTGGACTCAAACAATGATGGATCTGGACCAATCTTGGCACGAATACTCCATATGCCCAAATATGAACACAGATGGAGTTTGGGGGAAATAGACCTTGACATTTGGGAGTTGTAGTCACTGGGATTCACAGTTCACCTACAATCAAAGAGCATTCTGAACCCCACGAATGACAGAATTGGGGTAAACTTCCCACACAGAACCCCCACAATCAACAGGAAATACTTAAGGCCATCCAATCCAATTCCCTTCATCAGGGCAAGAAAACGTAATCAAAGTCCTCCTGACAAAGAGCCATCCAGCCATAGATGTAGTAGATAGATAGATAGATAGATAGATAGATAGATAGATAGATAGATAGATAGATAGATAGATAGATATGATTCACACACAGAAAGATATAGTATCATAGATTTGAAAGGGACCCTTAAAGAAGGACAATGATATGTTGCATGTTCCAGGGTGGGCAAACTCCACATCAACACTGACAACACTGACAATCTCCACATCAACACTGACAAAGAAGCAGCAAGAAATACTTTTTACCCACAAGCATAGAGACATTACATCTATTAGAAACCAACACTTTCTCATTACTTTATTTGCCAGATCAACAGACTGGGCCACAGCAACGCATGGCAGGAGACAGCTAGTATATATATATATATATCATATATTGAAATACATTTTAAGATACTTGCAAAGTTATAAACTTAACACTTATTATATACATCAACACTTGCTGCAAATATTTCCATTGAACATCATATGCTGAAACACATTTAAAGGTACTTACAAAGTTATAAACTTGACACTTATTCTCCTTAGAGATACAGGCTTTTTACTAGTGGGATTTAGACCAAAGGAAAAAAATGTGGCTGTAAACATTTGAAAGTTACATATACTAAAAATGAAAGTTTTGTCAAAATATAAACGTATTTTACAAAACAAGAGTCTACTCACAGGATACTCTGCTGTGTGTTTGGTTCTAATTGCATTAATTGTAGCTTGCTGGGTTTTATAGTATCTTTTAAATTAATAGGGTTTTATTACTGTTATAAATATAAGTGGGACAATTTATTGTTATTAATTTATACTTTTCTATATTTTGTTGTATTTGTATATTGTTGCACTATTGAGTGCTTTCTGTGAGCCGCCCTGTGTCCCCATAAGCTGGGCTTATTCTTCTTCTTTGGCAATAAGGTTGTACATAGGATGTTAGCTTTAATATTCAAAACCTAAAACAGGCCTTGTGACATCTAAAATGCGGTGTAACCTGTTCTATTCTTCCTCCCAGTGGAGAACAATCCTCGGACAGGAAATCTTGCGGCGCTGATTAAAGTCTTCCTTTCCAGAACCAAAGAGTTAAAAATTTCAGCAGAATGTCAAAAGTAAGTACATCATGTTTGTGAGTTTTCTTTTAAGCCACATTTGCTGATTTTTTAAGTACATGAAAATGTTACCAGCTAGTGATATGACTGCCAAGTTCCCCACATGTGTAGCTATGTGCAAATGTTAGTTTAAGCATTTCTGATAGATCTCAAACTGTGCTGGGAAAAGCCTGGGGTCTGCTTGCATCTCCTTTTCTATAACGAGCTCTGCCTGAAATTTCTTATAGGTACAGGTCAAAATTCCCCCAAACCACCTTCATTTATGATTACACAAGCCAACAAGTATTTTTCATCAGATATAATTTTAGGTCACTCTTATAGAGGTTTTTGTGCTGAATTCAGATCTGTGCTTATTTTTTCTCCATCACGTGTAGTTTTGCGATGAGGCTAATCGAATAATTAATGCATTTACGCACTGATATCAATAGACTCTAATTGATCTCAGTGCGTAAATGCATTAATTGTTCAGGTTGTTGTAGGTTCTTGGGGCAATATGGCCATGTTCTAGAAACATTTTGTCCTAAGAGAGAATGCTTCTAGTACATGGCCATATAGCCCGAAAAACCTACAACAACCCAGTGATTCCAGCCATGGAAGCCTTCGACAATGCATTAATTATTCGATTAGCCTAATTGCAAAAACTGCACATGATGGAGAAAAAAATAAACACAGATCTGAATTCAGCACAAAAAAACTCTATAGGAATGTATTGTCAAAGGTTTTCATGGCCGGAATCACTGGGCTGTTGTGTGTTTTCCGGGCTGTATGGCCATGTTTCAGAAGCATTCTCTCCTGACGATTTGCCTGCATTTATGGCAGGCATCCTCAAAGGTCACAACCTCTGAGGATGCTGCCATAGATGCAGGCAAAACGTCAGGAGAGAATGCTTCTGGAACATGGCCAGACACCCAGAAAACACACAAAAACCTTTATAAGAATGACCTAAAATTACATTTGATGAAAAAAGCACTTGTTGGCTTGTGTTACACGAATTTGATGTGAAATGTGCAGACTTTAGAGTAGTCCACTGCAGTGTACCATTAGTCATATTTTAAAACGTTGACGTGATGGGAAAAAACTACAAGAAAGGAGATTCCATCTGAACATGAGGAAGAACTTCCTGACTGTGAAAGCCGTTCAACAGTGGAACTCTCTGCCCCGGAGTGTGGTGGAGGCTCCTTCTTTGGAAGCTTTTAAACAGGGGCTGGATGGCCATCTGTCAGGGGTGATTTGAATGCAGTATTCCTGCTTCTTGGCAGGGGGTTGGACTGGATGGCCCATGAGGTCTCTTCCAACTCTTTGATTCTATGATTCTATGAAAGACATGTTTAAAATCAGCATAAAATTGATTTAAACTGTGCTACTCTCATTTCTGATGATTACAAAAAGTTTGATTTTGTTGGTTTGTGTTATGAGCTTTGCCTTCTCCTAACTACCATCAAAAATCACGCTAATATGTTTGTATTGCATTGAGTGGCACCATGAGCTGAAAAAGGTTAGGCAGATGTCTTGCATTGTGAAACTAGGCCACGATGCTACCTTCCATTTTTATGGGCACCTGCTTGGCACAATTTGCTGGCAGGTCCCAAAATGATGTCAAGCAAGTGTCCTATTCTATAAAGCTCTGAAAACCAGATATCAGTGGATTCAAAATACATGAAAAGAGATTCAGCCTAAATATTAGGGGAAAATTCCAGATGGTAAGAGCTATTCAACAGTGGAATATGGTATCTGGGAGTGTGATGGAGTCTCCTTTTCTGGAGATGTTTAAGCATAGGCTGGATGGCTATCTGTCAGACGTATTTTGTTTGATTATTGCTTCATAGGCAGAATGGCTTGGACCTGATGGCCCTGGGGTCTCTTCCACCTATGATTGTATTATTATTTTCAGCCAAAAGCTTTGTTTCAAAATAATGGTGATAAGATCTCATGTTGGAAAGCAGCATTTTCTGAACAGACTTCAGTGCATGTCCCCCAGTTGCACAACAAATACTTGCTTATGTAAGTTGGTAATAATCTCTGGTCTACCTCTTAACCAAGGGCAATACTGCCCCATTTATTTGCAGAGGTGAGAAGGGGGGACCATCAAAATAGTGTCCCAGAGCTTCTTTCCGACATTTATCGTCTGTGACTCAAAATTCCTTGAGGCTTAGAAGTGTTTTAGATAATGATTTAGCAATTATTTTATGTGTTTTTTCTCCCTGTTTAGAACATTGCAATCACTTGTAACGTTGTGCCGCCAGATGTCTAGTTTGCAAAATAAACATTTGTTTTTCAGCTTAAAGGATTGTTTTTGGGAGTATTTACAAACCAGCTTGATGAAGCTTTGCAGTTAAACCTCTATTTGTTTTAAATCCAGGGCATTATCTCTAGAATACACCATATTTGGATAGGATAGAAAATGTAACTGTACATGTTCTCTCCCCCAGCATCCCAACAGAGGGAAAATTCCTTTTGATTTGCAGGAAAATGCTATATTTTTGCCATGTGGCTGGGCCAATTGGTCTGGAGATTGTGCTTGAAATGTACTTCATGTGGTGGGATGACAGATGCCGATGTCCCCGCTGCTTTTGGTGGTATAATGAAACAGAAAGGACCTCAAAATCTACTTAGCCCATGTTCTGAACTCATGTAAAGATGCTGATTCTTAATAATACTACTATATTTATTATTTGGGGTCCTTTTTTGCAAAGTAAATTCACAGCTAAACACTTCCTCTTTTAATTTTTGCACATATTGTTTTTAGCTCATACGAGACCTATCATATATACTTGTGTATAAGTCGACCTCATGTATCCAAATACAAGTTTTTGCTTTAGGGCCAACCCTGTGTGTTCTGGTATAACTCGTGTATAAGTAAGGGGCCATTCTTCCAAGAAGGGAAAGCACCAGCACCATCTTAGGGAGGCCACCACCATTTTCCTACCCAGACATTTGAAAGTACCAGAATTTATTTATTTAGAACATCTGTATCCCGTCCTATTTATTCTCAACCTCCGAAGAAGGACTCAGGGTAGCTTCCAACAATATAAAAATACCAATAAAACACACAATTACATAAAATAATAAACATACATTTATAAACAGTCTGCCAAGTTTAAAACATGCTCCAAATCAGTCCAAAAAATGTGGTCCATACAATCTCATGTAAGTCAATAAAAACCGTCTATTCTGTGAACGCTTGCTCCCACAGCCAAGTCTTAAGTGTCTTGCGAAAAATCAGGATCTAACCTCTTTCGGGAGGGAGTTCCACAGCCGAGGGGCCACCACAGAGAAGGCCCTGTCTCTTGTCCCCACCCAACGTGACTGCAATGGTGGCGGGACCGAGAGCAGGTCCTCCCCAGATGATCTTAAAATCCTTGATGGTTCATATGGAGAGACACATTCAGACAGGTAAAGTGGGCTAGAGCTGTTTAGGGAAGTGGAGCCGTGGCAGAGAAAGTAGAGAGGTAAAGTGCTTATTTTAAGTTCTCCAGAAATGCACTAAGCTCATACCTTTTGCCACTCAGAAATTCTTCCTTAATTAAGGTGTAGTAGTTGTATGGACCCGTTGATAAATTAACCCAGATTTTGGGGTCGTTTTGACTAAAATGTCAACACTTATACATGCATATATATGGTAGATTTTTGCTTACCTCCGAATCCTTCTGGAGTACTCTTTGGCTTGTGATAGAGTATTTGACTGCAGTGTTTAATTGCTATGTGTGTCATTGGAACTTCTTTTTCTTTTCTAGTCACCTCTTTATCTGGCAGGCTCACAACGCTCTGTTTATTATTTGCTGCCTGCTCAAAGTGTTGATCTCTCAGATGTCAGAAGAAGAGCTGCAACTTCATTTTACCTGTGAGGAGAGGACACCAGGCTCTTATGGTAAATATTTAATAATCGGTTCTAAGGAGCAAATAGCACCACATGTTTGCAACAGACTCCATGACTCTAAAAGGTCTGCCCTTAAATACCCCAGTTCTGTATCTCTCAGCGCTGCTGTTCTTAGTTACAATACTCCATTATTCCTTACATGAATGCACATTCATATTTTTCAAATAGTGAACTTCTTAGAAGCCTTATTCTTATGTAGCCAAAGTGCTATTATCCACTTACAGGAAGGAGGCATGCAATTCAGTGCTTGGAGGAATTTTGCAATAGTAGAGCTTTAAAAGCAAGAAGCAATAAGTGATACCCTTTCCACACTCAACTCCAGTAAAGATTGCAAATATTTCATACATTGATTGCAAATCTTAAATTCTCCAGTAGAAATCACTGTTCCCTTCCGCCTTCCTCTCTATGTATAACATGCATGAACTTCAAGGCAAGCTTCTCTTTTGCTGGGCTCTACCATTGTGGCTTCTTGAAGAATATCCATACATTTCCAGAACACACTTTTAAACAGAGGCTGGGTGGCCATCTGTCGGGGGTGCTTTGAATGCAATTTTCCTGCTTCTTGGCAGGGGGTTGGACTGGATGGCCCATGAGGTCTCTTCCAATTCTATGATTCTATGATTCTATACTTGTTGTAGTTCAGCCTTTGTTGTAGTTCAGCCTTTGATTGTGCCAGCACCTGATCTCTCTGGGAATTCTGGGCCTGTTAAGTCATTCTAATGAAACTGGGGATTCTGTGAGATTTTAAGAGATTTTAAGCGGTCTGTGTCTGAAGGCCACATTCCTGATAGGCAGTTCACTAGGGAAGCAAGCTCACAAACATATCTGAGCTCAGAGGATGAAAATGAAAGTCCAGGTGGACAGACTAATGAGCGGTTAGATAGGAGATTTACATTTCGTCAACACAGGGCTTCTCAGAAGAGTGTACGAAGGTCAAGATGATTTTTAGTGAAGAAGTCCTTATCAGTTTCCCAGGGGAGAAAACATGACTTTCTCTCTATATTAGCTAACCCAGAAGATGGGTCCTTTAGTCCAGGCAATGTTGGTGATTGAGTATAGATCTATTTCCAAATCAAGGGATTTCTAATTCCATGTTTCCTTTTGTCTCATGTTTCCAAATTTTTAAGACTATTCCTGAATCTCATGTTTTGGATATATTCTGCTTTTGTATTCCTGGTTTTGGTGCTACTCTTGTACTTTGATTTCTGTGGACTATTCCTGATATTAGGACTTTGGTTTTTTTATACTATTTTGAGGAATTGTGTGTATGTGTGTGTGTGTGTGTGTGTATCATTCTTTCATTCATTCATTCTTCAATAAACTGCTTTGATCTTTTACCTTGGACTGGAGTGTGTGTTAAGTACAGAGTTGGTTCCCACCTTGGAGTGCAACATACATAGAGATAGAGAGATAGTCAAGTATCAGAAGGGTTGTGATTGTGGAAGTCTTATGAATCTATCAAAATATATTAGAAGAGACCATGAACAGGATGGGAAGGTATAATGGATGCATAGATTTTCAAAAGACAGTAATATATATATATATATATATATATATATATATTCTCCAGCAAAGGATCACCGCCTTGTCGGGGCGCTGGAGCTTGACCACCTCAATGATGTCATGAGCGAAACCGTGAAGGGACACCCAAGACGGGACGGTTGTGGCAGAGAGGTCAGACCAAGCGTGATCCCTGGGGAAGGCAATGGCAAACCGCTCCAGTATCCTTGCCAAGAAAACTAAATGGACCAGTACAACCAGAGATATGTCGGTATGCCATTGGAAGATGGGACTCCCAGGTCGGAAGATGGCCAAAATGCTACTGGGGAGGAGCAGAGGATAAGTTCAACTAGCCCCAGATGTGATGACGCAGCTAGCTCAAAGCCGAAAGGAAGGCTAGCGGCCGACGGTACCTGAGGTGAACGACGAATCCGATGCTCTAAAGATCAGCACACCATAGGAACCTGGAATGTAAGATCTATGAGCCAGGGCAAATTGGATGTTGTTATTGGTGAGATGTCAAGACTAAAGATAGACATTCTGGGGGTCAGCGAACTGAAATGGACTGGAATGGGCCACTTCACATCAGATGACCACAAGATCTACTACTGCGGACAAGAGGAACATCGAAGAAATGGAGTAGCCTTCATAATTAATAAGAAATTCGCTAAAGCGGTGCTTGGATACAACCCAAAAAATGACAGAATGATCTCAATTCGAGTGCAAGGAAAGCCTTTCAACATTACAGTGATCCAAATATACGCCCCAACCACAGCTGCTGAAGAAGCAGAAGTAGATCAGTTCTATGAGGATCTGCAGGACCTACTGGATAATACACCAAAAAGAGACATTATTTTCATTACAGTAGACTGGAATGCCAAGGTGGGAAGTCAAATGACAACTGGGATCACAGGCAAGCATGGTCTGGAAGAACAAAATGAAGCGGGACGCAGGCTGGTAGAATTTTGCCAGGAAAACTCGCTGTGTATAACGAATACTCTCTTCCAACAACCTAAAAGACGGCTTTACACATGGACCTCACCAGACGGTCAACACCGAAATCAGATTGACTACATCCTTTGCAGCCAAAGGTGGCGGACATCCATCCAGTCGGTGAAAACAAGACCTGGGGCTGACTGTAGCTCAGATCACGAACTTCTTCTTGCCAATTTAGAATAAAACTAAAGAGATCAGGGAAAATACACAGACCAGTTAGATATGATCTCACTAACATTCCTAGCGAATATACAGTGGAAGTGAAGAACAGATTTGAAGGACTAGATTTAGTAAACAAGAGTCCCAGAAGAACTATGGACAGAAGTCCGAGACATTGTTCAGGAGGCGGCAACAAATACGTCCCAAAGAAAAAGAAAACCAAGAAGGCAAAATGGTTGTCTGCTGAGACACTGGAAGTAGCCCAAGAAAGGAGGAAAGCAAAAGGAAACAGTGATAAAGGGGAGATATGCGCAGTTAAATGCGCAATTCCAGAGGTTAGCCAGAAGAGATAAGGAACTATTTTTAAATAAGCAATGCATGGAAGTGGAGAAGACAACAGAATAGGAAGGACAAGAGACCTCTTTCAGAAAATTAGAAACATTGGAGGTAAATTTCAGGCAAAAATTGGCATGATAAGAAACAAAGATGGCAGGGACCTAACAGAAGCTGAAGAGATCAAGAGAAGGTGGCGAGACTATACAGAAGAGCTGTATAGGAAGGATAATAATATCGAGGATAGTTTTGACGGTGTGGTGAATGAATTAGAACCAGACATCCTGAGGAGTGAGGTTGAATGGGCCTTAAGAAGCATTGCTAACAACAAGGCAGCAGGAGACGACGGGATCCCAGCTGAACTGTTTAAAATCTTAAAAGATGATGCTGTCAAGGTGATGCATGCCATTTGCCAGCAAATATGGAAAACACAAGAATGGCCATCAGACTGGAAAAAATCAACTTATATCCCCATACCAAAAAAGGGAAATGCGAAAGACTGCTCAAACTTCTGTACAGTGGCCCTTATTTCTCATGCCAGTAAGGTAATGCTCAAGATCCTGCAAGGAAGACTCCAGCAATACATGGAGCGAGAGTTGCCAGATGTTCAAGCTGGGTTTAGAAAAGTAGAGGAACAAGAGACCAAATTGCCAATATCCGCTGGATAATGGAGAAAGGCAGGGAGTTTCAGAAAAACATCTATTTCTGTTCTGTCATTGACTATTCTAAAGCCTTTGACTGTGTGGATCATAATAAATTGTGGCAAGTTCTTAGTGGGATGGGCACCACAAGCCACCTTGTCTCTCTCCTGAGGAATCTGTACAAGGACCAAGTAGCAACAGTAAGAACTGACCACGGAACAACAATCTGGTTCAAGATTGGGAAAGGCGTACGGCAAGGCTGCATACTCTCACCCAACCCTTTTTAACTTGTATGCAGAACACATCATGCGATGTGCGGGGCTGGATGAATGCAAAGCTGGGGTGAAAATTGCTGGAAGAAACATTAACAACCTCAGATATGCAGATGACACCTCCCTGATGGCCGAAAGCGAGGAGGAGCTGAGGAGCCTTCTAATCAAGGTGAAAGAAGAAAGCGCAAAAGCCGGGTTGCAGCTAAACGTCAAAAAAACCAAGATTATGGCAACAAGAATGATTGACAACTGGAAATAGAGGGAGAAACCGTGGAGGCCGAGACAGACTTTGTATTTCTAGGTGCAAAGATTACTGCAGATGCAGAGTGGCCAGGAAATCAGAAGACGCTTACTTCTTGGGAGGAGAGCAATGTCCAATCTCGATAAAATAGTGAAGAGTAGAGACATCAGACTGGCAACAAGATCCGCCTAGTCAAAGCCATGGTATTCCCTGTAGTAACCTACGGATGTGAGAGCTGGACCTTAGGGAAGGCTGAGCGAAGGAAGATCGATGCTTTTGCTGTGGTGTTGGAGGAAAGTTCTGAGAGTGCCTTGGACTGCGAGAAGATCCAACCAGTCCATCTTCCAGGAAATAAAGCCCGACTGCTCATTGGAGGGAAGGATACTAGAGACAAAGTTGAAGTACTTTGGCCACATCATGAGGAGACAGGAAAGCCTAGAGAAGACAATTATGCTGGGGAAAGTGGAAGGCAAAAGGAAGAGGGGCCGACCAAGGGCAAGGATGGATGGATGGCATCCTTGAAGTGACTGGACTGACCTTGAGGAGCTGGGGGTGGTAACGGCCGACAGGGAGCTCTGGCGTGGGCTGGTCCATGAGGTCACGAAGAGTCGGAGACGACTGAACGAATGAACAACATATAGATAACGGTGGGGTGATTGGGAAGGAGGTGGGAAGGAGAGAGAATTTAGAGAAGCAGTACAATGCCATGGAAAATTTTAATTACACAGTGGAAATCTAGCTGCATAAAATGACCATGACAAGTCTAGATCTAAAACGTTATATCAACCAGCTGAAGCTATGAAATGTTATCTGTTTTGATAGGGCAGCGAGGAAGAATGTAGTTTGTGG